GGTGGATACTATATACAACCCTGATATGGTGCTGTACGTAAATGCTTTGGTAACGGAGCACTCGAGGCCATGTGGTCATACTAATAGGCTGTTACCACAGTAAAAGCTTGTATGCTGTTCTTTTACAGGAGGCTCACGTAGGTATACTTTACAAATTTAGATTGATCCCCGCTGATAGCAATAGGCTCAATCTCCAGCAACATAATCTCGTCAAGATTACTGGGGCAGTCTGCCTTGTAGCTTACATCGCTACTATCATCGTGTTCCTCACACACTGTCACCCTATCTATCGACTCTGGCAAATATATCCATATCCAGGTGATGACTGCGCGCTCAATATATCCAAATACTTGGCGTTGGTCGTTACAAATGTAACGTGGGTAGCCCTAGAAATGAGCCTGTCCACTTCTGTACCATACTTACAATCATCCAGCACCGATCTCATGATCTTGTATATCCCGCTACCTCTACTCTGGAACGTCCGACTACCTTTAAGAAGGAAGCTTCTGTACGGAGTCTGGTTATGCACCGGTGTTTTCATTATGACAGCAACGTTGCTCCGCTGCATCCTGTGTCTTCAAGACGTTTCCCAGATCAACGTTGGCACCATTTGGTCAATCCGCGAAACAGTGAGCCTCTCAAATTTTAATGCCACTAGGACCTTGCTAATGTTCACCATAGTTTGTCGGAATCTTAGCTGTCAACGCACCTATCCTTAAGCCCTTTCTCAGTAAAGCCAGGAAAGCTATGTCATCGATCAAGCCATCAAACGACAATTCGGGCCAGAATTTGCCAGACAGCCTTCGTTTGTCGCATGTTGAGAGGAAGGGCAAAAGGAGGACTGTGCATGAGATCGACAACATAGACATGAGCATGAATGGAAGCGAAGAGCACATTGTGAGACAAGGAACAGACGAAGAAAGAGCGAGCAGTGATGTCAATTCGAGAGATGAGGGTGATGCGGTTTAAACTCGGCATTGCGTGCAAAGCATGATCTAGCGCAATGAGTCATGAGCCTGTCAGTAGAAGCTGACGCATGGTATAGGTACAGCGGCGACGCTGATCAGGCTGCTGCGGATCTGTCTCTGTCGTGGCACCAGTGTTGCCAGTAGAGTGGTCTATCATCAGATCATATCTACTGCAACATAACGCACCGTGCGAGTGGTCCTGCCCTGATCATCATCATCGGTGTGAGAACAGGTGCTGCATCAGCCACAAGACTACTTTCCAGCGTCGGTCGGCAATGAAGCCCAATACAGTCGGGTGGTGAAAACCCAATAGCAGGCCAGTTCTAGTGTTGTGAAGCATGGAGGCAGAATCTAGGTCATGTCATGCAAATGCATGTACATGATAATAATACACTCGCGTGTACCCAATATGCTCTAGCTCAATTCTCATCCTCCAACAGCCTCCTCTCTTCTTCGACAACTTCAGCTTTCTTATCATCCTTCCCACTCGACCTCTGCAGACTGACCGCAATCGCCGCTCCGATGATAAGCACGGCTCCCACCAAGCTCTCAGCAGGCGGCGTAGTTCCCCAGATCACCTTCTCGACAACAAGCGCGAAGACAAGTTGCAGATACGTCAAGTTTGTTGCTCTTCCACCTTTCTCCCTCTGCAGGCCTTCCGTCAAGAGAAATTGCAACAGAAACCCGAAGAGCCCAATAATGGCGATCAATCCCCACTGACCGAGCGTTTTGGGCATGACGAAATATAACGAAGGGTGAACCAGGATGAGCACGAACGAGGCGATCGTTGCGATGAGAGAAAAGTAATTCACCGAGATGAGCGAGTGGGCGCGCTTGCCGATCACTCGGATAGTTGCGTAGGCTGTCGAAGCACCAAGCGTGCCTAGAATCGCGATGAGAATTGCCAGAGCGCGTTGTTCGGTGGTAGTTGATGGTAACGGTGCATGCCCGTCCGAGTCATCGGCTATTGGCCTTGAGTGCGAAGCGGGAAATATCCATGGTGGTCTCGCGACGAAGAGAACGCCGCAGAATGCGACGAAGCTGCAAAGCGCTTCTTTCCAGGTAAAAGGCTCGCGTAACCAAATGAAGCATACAATGGCCGTCATAGTTGGGATTAGGAAAGTTATTACTGTCGCGTCGGAGAATTCAAGCCATGAAAGAGAGTCTGAGCGGTATTGTTAGCTGTATTCCTGTTCATTATCATGACCCACCCATGCAGGTCACAATCTTATATCGATTGAACCGGGAAGAATCGCAGAGGGAGTTGAACTTACAATACAGTCCAAATAAACCGACAAATCCTGCGGTACCTCTCAGTATGAGCAGTCCTTTGATGCCTTTCTGGCCGAAAGGAAAGTCAGGCACCGCATGGTACCAAGAGTAAATCGAGCAGATGATCGTCGTGCACAGCATGCGGATGAAGATGATTTGCAAAGCGTGAAACTCGATGGATGGGTCATTCGCGAGCAGTTTGGCTGCTGTGTTCATCTAGTGCTCATTTGTAAGTGGCATGGTCTGCGGCATGCAGTCATTGCACACAAGAAATAACACTTACGACAGAACCGCATGTCTGTGCCAAGAAAACTAAGAATAAACCGAAATTCCGCCTGTAGAATGACTTCAGACTCTGCGATATTTTGCTCCATATTCCTGGCGGATTGGCTTCCTCGTCCGTATCTTGCGCAGAGCCTGAAGCTGCAGATGGCAGGCGTGGCAAGAAGTTTACCCTTGAGCGCCCTGCGGACGGCGGTGGGTCGGCTATGGTGCCATAAGACATCTCGAACCTTTTGTCGAGATGTTCGCGATTGCAAAGTTGAAGTGGAAGGGCAGAAGCCGTAGCAATGCGGAGCAAAAACCCATGGTCCGGTGACCCACTAGTGGGTCTCTCATTCGGCGGTAGCCCGTGTCTAGCCTTGCTTACTTCAGCTAGAATCTTCTCATGCATGCCACAAGACTGCGAATGTAACACCGATCACAATATTGCCGACATGTTTTTAAGATTTTTGGTAAGCAAGTGCAGTTGCAAGTAAATGCGTGAATAAAACTGAAGACACTTAGTGTTCCTGATATATGTACAAGAAAACCAACTCTCACGTACTACCGAACCAAGCCAGCATCTCTCTACAAGATGTTGGCCTAGGAAAGGTAAGCTGCATCAACCCAGCTCTTGTAGTCGCTGCCCAGAACAGTGGAAGGGCTAACGGCAGCCGAGAGCTTCTTTGAGAAGGACGCCCTGGTACCCTTGGATCCATCACCGGTGTTTGCGTACTCGGCATATGTGACCTTGTCAGTCCTGGGGTCATCGGTATTCCAAACTTTCCATCCCGCGGCATTGATGACATTGGTCATGCTAGTCTTCTGGAACACAACACGAGAGAAATTCCTCCAAGGACGGCCGAGGTAGTAAGCACCCGCGCTCACCGTGTTACCAGGAGCAGCAGCGATCTTCGAGTTGTTGATGACATAGTATGAGGGATTGGAATCTGAATCGCGACCGTTGGCAGTAATGTAACCCACCGACGCTGTGAGAACGCCCAGAGAGCAACCATCGAACCATGCTATGGCCTTCTGGCCGAAGATGAAATCAGTCGCTCCTTCGATGTAGGATTTGGCATAGACCTGGCTACCCTGCTGGGCGAGGATGGTGTCTTGGTAACCCTTGAACTGGCATCCGTAGTAGCCTTGCTTATCAGCATAAGCACTAAGGGCGAGAGCTTGCGAGCCCTGTCCGCGTGTGTTGACCAGGTTGATGTTGTAGACCTTTAGGTTTGGTGTCCAGGCGCGGAGAGTAGCAGTTTCGTCGTTGTTGGGGGCGTCATCTTGACTTTTGCCCTGGGTGATGGTCACGGTGTTGCCGGTGTAACTGCTAGTGTCTGTCGTTTCGCCGTAAACCGTCAGAGCCGACTTGAGCGGCTTGATGTAGACTTGCTCCTTGTATGTGCCTGCAGAACCGGGGGCACCAAGTCAGTACATGTCTCACATGGAGCTGGTACAGCTAGAACTAACCCTTCGCGATGAAAATGCATTGTGCAGCCGTACTGGAAGCGCTTAAAGCATCAACGGCGGACTGAACAGTTTTGTACTTTCCGCTACCACCCACAGCCAGACATCCAGAAGGAGGACTTGTACGTCCAGCCCGAGGCGCCAGCGTCGTTGGAGCTGCGACAGCGGATGCCGCGAGCGTGAGCACGAAAGCGATCGATGGGAGCATTGTGGACAAAGTAGGACAGTTGAAAATGAAAGTATAAGAGTGAGTGAATGTAGAACTTAGCCTGAAGGCGCGCAGTATGCATATACATATAATAACTTCAGCATGCCGGCTATGCAAACTATATTGGCGGACTCCCCGGGTCTGACCTAGACCTCCGAACAGCCGCTTAGTGAGCTACGGGGTCGTTTCCCCGCTATGAAAGCTGTCGAAACGGGCGAAGCAAGCCATCGGAAAATTGATGTATGCACCCCAGACGGTGAATCTCTCATCGCGCAACGACTGCGCATGTGCATTGCGCCGGTTGGTGGGAATCTTGTTGCCGTCCGTGCGTTGATTTGGGTTGATTGTAGCGTGTTACAGAGGGCTGACGGAGGCAGTATTGAGGTCCGAAGTGATGCCGCGTGCGCATCGCATTACTGATGGTGTTGAAGCTGACGCGTTGTTGGGCACGACGGACGCGCCTCCTTCTTGCAGGTCGAGGTTTGTGGGGAAGGATCCTGCGCAGGGCCGTGCGTTGATCACGTGAGCTGGTGTCGCGCTAAGAGGCCCGGGATCCACACGTTCCAAGCCCAGCAATTCACTCATTGTGCGACGCTGAGACCAATCTTCCGCAGACCGCGCTTTGACATCAGTTATTCACTTTGGGTGCTCTTGGTTATCAGTATCTGGTCATTCTTTCCCTCGCAATGGCTCCATCACACACAACTGGCAATAGCTGCCAAACAATCGACCTCACAGGTTCCTCACCAGAGCCGGAAGACATGCCCCAGCAACGACCACAACAGCGGCCACAGCCAAGACCGCCCCAAAGACTAGTTCAAATGTACCTGAAGCCCGAGCCACGCCCCTACGGTATGGCAAATGTCGGGATGGAAGCTAGGCATCCGATGGCTTCCGCGCGAAACCCTGTAGGGCCACAGCAGACGCGCCCTATCCACCCTGAGCATATCAAACAGATCATCGAGACAGCCGACCCGCGCGCTGTGCAAAAGGTGCTGCTCGATCTTTGCCAAATGTCACCGGCCTTTTCCGGCGCCCTCGTCCGTGGACTTGCGCCTCACTCTGCATCCGCCCAGAGCCTGATCAGCCAGCAACGGATGCAGTCGCATCAGCCCAAGGTCAAGATTCAAGATGAGGACGATAGCGACGAACTCTATGAGGCGGCGAAAAGAAACCTCGTGAAGCCTACAGTTCCGACCCCAAGTCACAACAGCTTGCCTGCACAATCCCGCGAGATCAGCGGAAGTCGAGCTACATCACGGCCTCATGGTTCTGAGTTCGCATCACGAGTGAAGCGGGAGCCACGTGAGCGCTCACAGTCAAGTTCAGACGGCGACATGCACCTTCCTGGAGCCTATCCACGCTCTACCACGTTACGCACGCCAGTCCGGAAACCCTCAGGCCAATCATCCTCTGTCAACCAAACTCCAAGGCTGTTGGCCAGAGACACGCCACGGTCAGCGAGCATCAACAAACAGCCTGCGCCTTTGATAAAGACCTGCACAGTGTGTCACGAACAGATAGTGGACGTGAATGCGCCCTGCGTTTCTCATTCTGGGAAGAGGTACAGGCCACCGGGCGGGTCAATAAAATGGGACTGCTGTCAGGCAGACATTGACGATCCCGGTTGCGAGTTCAACGGGCAACATACGACTGAAGAAGAGCTCGAAGAAGACGCGTTGGTACAAAGGAAACGACCAAGTGCGTCTCCGGTTCCAAGTCGTGCCACACAAAAGAGACCCAGAGCATTCTAGCGAAACTGCTAGGGGTTTGCCAGGCAGTTGGTCGCTCTTTGCTCATAGCGGGACGCAATAGATCCACGCAATGGGTCCTCTTCTGCGATCGTTCTTTTTGTTCTTCAGTTTCAGTCGTCTTCGGAAGACACTTCGCACGTCATTAGTTCATTGCTAGAAGCATAGCGTAGGCGTTTCGTTACTAGGCAGCATCGATATGGCTGCGGAGATCTCAGGCAGCTGCATTACAAAGATTTGTGTCCGTTCTTGATGAGCATGTGCATTACTAAGCCTGCGTTGCCCTTCCTGATTTTCACGAATCTGGCCTCGAAAACTCCACCATTGTCTCTAGGGCCCCAAACTGTTCGCCTTCCCATCATGGACAGCGATTACTCCCGTCGCTTCTCGTGTTCCGGTGCAGGTCTACGCTTCAGGAGACTGTGCCTCACCGTTGTTCTGAAACCCATACACATCTCTTCCAATCCCTAATCTAATGCTTATGACGCGACGGCCACTATTTCTGTTGAGTCACTGCATGCAAGAAACAAACCGACCAGGTCTGCAAATTACATCAAGATTAAAATGTGCAGAGTAGGTAACCTAACCTTAATGTAGACTCTAGGGTGTTTATCTTTTTCCCAAGCCGACGTGGAGCGCTCAAGAGGCTAAGAGGATACTGCGAACTGATGGTCCTTTATGCCAATCGTTCATCCGTAGACACGTCTCCAATAGTCTTCGTTCTGAACTCGCTGTGAGCTAGACAACGACCCTTAGTATTCTGCAAGTGTTATCATTACAGGCGGGCAATTTGTCAGTGAATTAGCGGATGTTGCTTGACCGTTATCTCTACGATGCCTATTCTGACTCGTTCCTCACGCGTGACGTCATGCCAAGTGTCTTGCCTGCATTATCATCGACGCGCTAACCTCCATCTCTCCCACTTCTGCACCCGCCGTCAGGACGCGATAGACATGTAACGGACATACTGCGTTCCAGAAAACACGATACCGAGCCGAAGATGCATCGGTATAAAGCTGGCAGGTTGCCTCATGAGCATTGCCCCACGAAGTCTGCGCGCCGCACATCATGAAGGCCGCGCTGTTCCTATCGCTTGCAGCTCTTGTCAAAGCGAGTACGATTTTTCAACTCAACTCTACGTCGTATTATTCTCCAGGTCTTACCGCAGCGACGCTTAGCTTTAGCGACCAGTCATGGGCCAACGTAGAGCCTTTGCCAATCACTTATCTGAGTTTTTCGGACCCTAATGTCACCGCGGAGCTACTGGAGTTCACGATATCCTCATACCTATCGCACGACGATGTATACTCGGAATCTTTCCTCCATACACTAGTTCTTGGCGGTTCAAGCAGTCTTTCAGACAATGCACATGCATATCTTGGCTCAATCGGGTGCAGCATGATCTACACTGCGTTGGACGCCGGCGTAGCATCCGGCCCATATCTACTTCACCCATCAAAGGCTATCACCAGAGTCTACCGATTGTATTGGGATCACAACTTCGCTTTTGCGGAGTCGGTCACTGAAGGTCAGAATGGGACTTTCCTTCCTGTCACAGGTCTGGCGTTGACGGATGCCTACGGAGCTCTTAGTATCGCAGTGCCGTCACGATTATACTATCCAGCACCCACAGAAGATAAACCGTTATCGGGCAAACGCCTGGGCGTGAAGGATATCTACGACCTGAAGGGTATCCGTACGAGTGGTGGAAACAGAGGCTACCGCGACCTTGTGGATCCGGCTCCCGAGAGCGCGGCAGCCTTACAAAAGCTTATTGACATGGGTGCGGTGGTGATTGGAAAGACAAAGACTACCCAGTTTGCGCTTGGGGAACGACCAACAGTCGACTACGTGGATCAGCTGGCACCCTTCAACCCTAGAGGAGACGGCTACCAGCATCCCCAGGGTTCATCAGCCGGCTCTGGGGCTGGACTTGCATCGTACAACTGGATGGATATCGCAACTGCCTCCGATACTGGAGGCTCTGTTCGCTTACCGGCCATGGCAAACGGCCTGTTCGGCATGCGCATCACCAACGCCTCACTGCCACTCAAGGGAATCTTGCCCATCTCAGCAATATTTGATACGCCAGGCGTACTAGCTAGGTCGGCGAAGCTCCTCCAAGCAGTGCATAGGAAATGGTACCCAGCCAAGGAATACACATCCTACCCTAAGCGCATCATCTTGCCTGATCTGTTTTGGCCTACAGTCAACAGCACGAGTATGCCTATTTTTGATTCGTTCATCTCACAGCTAGCTACTTTTCTTAACGCCAATTTGACAACGTTCAACGCCAACGCCAGTTTCAATGCATACGCGAACATCTCTGAAGGCATAGCATCCTATCTCGGCTCTACATACTCCAACATTACCAACGTGGATCAGTACCGCGACCTTGGTCTACCTTTTAGGGAGCAGTATATTGCCAAGTTTGGCAAAGCGCCCTACTGGAACCCGCAAACACGAGCGCGATGGAACCGGGCCGCAACTTTGCCGACCTCTAGCTATACCACTGCTATCGAGCGCACGCACACATTCCAGACATGGTTTCGAGAGACGTTGACGCCATCATGCGAGTCAACGTTGGTGCTGTATCCTATGGGTGCCGGTACGGAAGACTACCGCGACATCTATACAGCCGCTCCAGGTGGTATATTTGCTGCTGGACTACCCGGCAACCAGATGTCAGTTCTGGCTGCGCTACCCGACTACACAATACCGATTGGCGCAAGGTAAGCTTGACTGTACGAAGTGCATTTAAGACATATACTGACTTCGTACCTCTACCATTGCAGGACGTATGTCAGCAGGGTTACTGAGAGAAACGAGACGCTCCCCGTTACCATTGGTATGGTAGCTGCGGCAGGTTGCGACCACATGCTCATGGATTTGGTTGCTGAACTTGCCGAAGTTGGAATAATTACCGAAAGTGTCAAAACCGGGTCTAGCATGTACTAGGGAAAGCAGAAATATACCCATGGGGCTTAATACACCGAGAACCCGAATTACGTGCCCGTACGAGTTGCGCATTCAACAATTCCACATCACAAGACCTGCACTCATTGGTTTTGCTGTGTGCCATGCTTTCCTACCGTCCGAACACATCCCCGTTGTGATTGGCGGACTATCTTTTAGGTACCCTGTCGATCACAACGTCTGGGGTAAATGAAGAGAGTAATCCAAGGTGTCATTCACCAGCAGCGCGCTACGGACTAGCTAGCTGATCTCGCCGCCTCTGCGCATGCCGCGTGGAGCTTTCATATTACATCTCTTTTCCTTCTGTCTCCGACATTCTTCCTACCCCTTGTTCTTCGCCTTGGAGATGATCTTCTGCACTGTTCTGCCCCTGCTAATATCCTCCGTCGCCGCCCTCGCTTTCCCGGGCGCAGAAGGCTTTGGGCGAAACGCTGTCGGCGGTCGTGGTGGCACTGTCTATGTTGTTACAAACCTCAATGATAGCGGTGAAGGGTCTCTCCGCGAGGGCGTTTCCCAGAACGACCGCATAGTCGTGTTCTCGCTAGGTGGTTTGATCAAGATTAAAGAGCGCATGGTCGTGGCCAAACGCGTGTCTATCCTTGGGCAAACAGCACCAGGCGATGGTATCACAGTTTACGGAAATGGGTGGAGTTTCAGCAACGCCGACGATGCAATCGTTCGGTATTTGCGCATCAGAATGGGAAATGGAGGAGCTAGCGGAAAAGACGGTATAACGATCGCAGAGGGGAGCAACATGATTTTCGACCACGTATCCGTCTCCTGGGGTCGCGACGAGACTTTTTCGATCTCCGGCAAGGACGTCGGCAACATCACCATTCAAAACAGTATCATCGGGCAGGGTCTGCAAACACACTCGTGTGGCGGGTTGATGCAAACGAATCTCGGGAATGGTATCAGTCTGTTTCGCAACTTATACATTGACAACAAGACGAGAAACCCGAAGGTCAAGGGTACCAATGACTTCACCAATAACGTGATCTACAATTGGGGCGGGGGTGGAGGATACACCGCTGGAGATTCGAGTGCAGCGAGCGAGGCGAATATCGTTGGGAATTATTTCATCAGCGGCCCCAGTACCAGCGTCACGGCGTTTACGCGCGGGAATGAGAACTTCAAGGGCTACGTTGAAGGCAACTTCTATGACTCTAACCGCGATGGCACGTTGGACGGAACGGAGCTAGGTGTGTCCTCCAGCAACTATGGAGGGATGGCTATCCAGGCGATCAAGTTTCCTTTCCCAGCGCCCGAGAAGACTCTATCGGCGGAAGATGCGCTGAGGCTCGCCGAGAGTTCTGTTGGTGCGAGTAAAGTGCGCGATGTTGTTGACACGCGACTCATTGAGGAATTGCAGAGCTACGGGAAGACGGGTGAGCTGATCAGTGACGAGAATGCTAGCCCCATGGCTGGGCCTGGAACTATTGACGGTGGAGAGCAGTGGGCGGATGCGAATGGAAATGGCATACCTGACAACGTCGAGGATCAGTTTTCGGATGTGGAAGAGTGGGCTAACAGTTTAGTACCAAGTGGT